TTTAGATTTCGAAACGTTGGAGTAAACTTTTATTAAAACAACAATGGTCCGAATGTTATCGTTTTTTATTCATACGAAACCTTCTAATTAAAAGTATAATTTTTTTTTTTTGACTTACCAAAAGACAGAACACGTACTCCAAATAAATAACTATAAATAAACACTGGATTATCTTGTTCACTAAAAAAAAGGGGGAAGTAAATAAATTAACAATTGTTTAAAGAAAATTTGATCATAAGATCAAAATTTCCTTGTAAGGGGAGAAGTGTAACAGTAATCTGTCACTGAACTTCAGGGTTTGGAAAATCTTTGTTATACGCCACGGATGAGAATGTGACTTGCGTATGAATTACGTATAGTTAACATATAACTTACAATTAAACCAATATTCAAATTTGAAATTTTGAATATTTTATTTTTATGAACAAAATACATTATTTATAAAATTAATTAGCTTATATAAGCTAATATGTATAGGTTAGTTTCACAAGAGATCAAAGTTGAAATTGAGAGCCGACTTAAAATAAGATAATAATGTAAAATAATAAGTATTAAAATAACTTAAGATAAAAATAATCATTATTGAAGTAACAATAAATAAATAAAGGAATAACGATAAATAAATAAAGGAATAATGATAAATAAATAAAATCAACAAATTAATTTTGAAAATAATATATTATTATTCAATACTGATTATTAATTTACAAAGTTATTATTAGTTAATTAATAAATAAATTAGTACATACTCAGAAAGAGGTTTTTCTGCAGTTTCCCTCTTTCTCTAGAAAATTGTTCTAGGCGAATGCGAGTATGATAAGCGTCGCTGCAATAATTGAGTCTTGATAATAGATATAGATAATAATAATTAATAAATACAATAAATTAACTAACATACTTTAAATATAATTAGAAATGATTGATAAATAAAATAATTATTAATAACTATTATTTGGAGCATATATTATAATAAAATAATAAACCAATCATTGATAATTATTATTTTTTAGAATAAATTATAACAGAATAAGACAAAATAATTATTATATTTTTAAGAATCCTTAAAAAGGGATGAATCATGAAAATAAAAAAAAATAAATAAAATAAAATAGAGATAAAGAAAAAGAAAATGAATCATAAAATTCTCAGAAAAAAATGGAATTACCGTTGAAAATCAATAAATTAAGGCGCAATTTTGAGAGAAAAATAAGCAATATAAGAAAAGTTAAACGTAGAATTATGAGGAGAAAATGCGCAATAAGTGCAGGTGTGTTTCATAAAAAAAAATATCAAAACAAATATGATGGTTACAAGATGTTTGCATTTATCAAGCCAAGTAATTGGTGAGGGCGGAACTAAAGAACCAAAAAATAAAATTCTAATTGGAAGAATTTAGATTAAGAAAGGGAAAAAGGGTCCAAGACTAAAGGTGGGAAAATAGTATAAAAATGAAATTTAAAAAGTAGGGACCAGATTTTTGACTATAACTTGAGTACGATACGTGTATTTAAATTTTACAAAAAAAGAAATTGTGCAAAGAACACAACTTTTAAAAATTATAATAAATTAAATTAATCATAATTTATTTTGTTAATTATCAAGACTCAAAAATTAGATTTGACTTGAATAAATGATAATTAATACTTTGATTAATTAATGGTGTTTTCATTTAATTAATAAATCATAATTAAATAGTGTGACAATATAAAGATAAATAAAGTATTTTTCTCTTTTTTCTTAACAAGTAAGTCCTTTTAAGGACTTAAACGATTAAGTACCCACGAAAGAAAAATAAATATAAAAAAAAATTAATCAAACGGAAGAGATTCGAAATTTAAGTTTTAAATATCAACCAAATTTCTTGGACATTTCAAGCAGCAGTGTGAATTAAACTTCAAGATCCAGCGACGTGTGTCACAACGTGAAAAACCGCGAGGTGGTTCGGGTGTTCGGTCGTTCGCACGTTCGCGATTCGACAATTTGTCCAAAATCGTGTAACATTGTCTTTTTAGTTATATTTATAGATAAAAGTAAATACGTTGATATTTCGATTCTTAAATTTTATGTAAGATTTTATGATGTCCGCAATTAAATAAAGTTTTTGCTTTTTTTTTGTGTAGAAAATATCGTTATTTTGAGGTGGATTGGTATTTTTCTTTGTTATCTATGTAATAGTAAATATAAATAAATAATCGGTTTATTTTAATATAAGGTTATGTAGTATGTATGCACGTGAGATTTTACATAATAATTGTCCTTCCTTTTCACATGTTTATCTTATATTATTTACAATAATATATAATGCTTAGAGAGAAGCAATTATTTAATAGGATGTTAATAATTCTGTGTAATTTCGTGCGGGCTTTTTTTATTTCTATGTAAAGTCATCCCGCCAAGAAATTGCTTTTTGACAGCTTTAGAATTTGATAAGCATGATAAACAACGCTTCCAAATAAACAAAGTTTTATGAAGAGGGATCAGTCCAAATTATTTTGAAACATGTTGTTTTTTAATACTTAATATAATATTGAATGTAACTAACAAATTTTTGATTTTCAACAATCACTGACACATAAATTTATGTACAAATTTTTTACAAAAATGAATGTCTGACAATTATTTACTTTTTTACTTTTATGTGCGATTGGCGATATTGAAATTTGTATAAACTATTTTAATTGCTAAAGTCTTTTTTATGAATTTTAGCTAATCTATGAAATTCTTTTATTATATAGTACATGATATATTTCGTTTCTTAATATTCAAAAAAGTAATTGAATTTCCGAAGAATTCCAATTAGAATAATTGGAAACACATTTGATGATAAATTTTAGATAGAAGTATTCTAGCGAATGTCTGCTATACTGTAAGATTATTTTGATAATCTTGTAGTAATCTTATACACAAAAGTTTAAAAAACAATTTAAATACTGTAAGCCTCCGGATCTCTGGTTGAAACTCATGTGAAGTTTACAGCAAGATGTTGTGGTGTGTGGGCCTATAGCACCAAATTTTGTCTGAAAATTTTTAAAATATTTACTGACAATTTTCTGAATATTAAATTGTAAAATTTAGTAAAAATTGTGTAAAAATTTAGACGTTTCAATAATAAAATAAATGTTTGACGTAAATCTTTCCTGAACATTTAAATGAAATTTTTGTTTAAATTGATTGAGGCGAAAATTTTATTTAAATGTTTAGGAAACTTTTGCGCCGAACATTTATTTAATCAGTGATTTAAATCTTTCAACAAATTTCAATAAACTTTGCAACTACAAATATTCCGAAAATTGCCAGTAAATATTAAATGAATTTTTAGGAAATTTTTTACGCTGTGGAAGATGTTTAACATGTTTATAAAAAATTATTTAAACAACAAAGAAAGATAAAAATAGTTTCTTTAAATTATATGTAATTTTATACCATTGTTTGATTTTTTAGATGGAATTTGATCATAAGCGAGAAATCAGATTAATACTGAATGAAGAAGTAATTAACTACGAGACACAGAAAAAAGACCTGCTTAAAAAATATGTTTTTAACGATTACTTCCCCATTAAGGGAAGTACTCTTAGGGCCAGTTTCACCAACTCCGATTAAAAGTTAATCAATGATTAAAGTCAGTTTAACAGCTCATGATTGGTTGATTCAGGATTTAATGATTGATTAATTTTTAATCGGCGTTGGTGAAATCGGCCCTTACTTATAAAATCGATGGAAAAGTTTTTTGTTTGGAGTCAGACGACACCAACATTTTTTTGAAACCAGACATAAATGATTATTACGTTAAACTTCCCAAAGGTATGTCATAGTAATATTAATATAATATAAATAATATTATTGTAATTCTCAACAAAAACATACGCAAATGCAAAATAGGTTTCAAATTTTAAAAATCATATAAAATAATTTTTTTTGGAATTGATAGTTATTTATTGTATTAATTTAGAAATAAAATGTCTAAAAAAGTATTCACTTGTAATTATATGTCATAATAATTCTAATTCTTTTGTTAAGTAACTTCTCTTAAGAGTTACAATTTTCTTTTTCTTTTATTTGTAATGAAATCTCGTATTATTCGTAAATTTTATAAATTTAAAAGAATCTCATTTTCAAGTAAGATGTCCCACATAGCACAACATTTTGCAGCAAGTTTGCAATGCAAAGTATGCAAGTTTGCATTGCAAGTTTGCAGCAAACTTGCTGCAAATAACGAAATGTCCCTCTTGTGGCAAGCTTGCATTGCAAACTTGCTGAAAATTGGCAGTTCAAACTTACGGCAAGTTTGCAATTTAAAGTTACTGCAAGATTGCCATGCAAACTTGCTGCAAATTTAAAAAGCAAATTTTCTGAACACTTGCAGAAACAATTTGCTGAAAACTTGCGGTAAATATTTTATGCAAATTAGAAAAACAATTTAAAGAATAATAAAATTAATTAAATTATTATTAAAAATTGAAATAAACATCCAATTAGAAAACTGGTTAAAAGGTATAAAAAAGAATCAGTAGGTATTTTACATATTTAGAAAATTTTATTAAGTATAAAAAGGATTCTTTTTTATAAAGGTTCAACTCCATAACATAACATGACATGACAAAATTAAAATGTTATTTTATGACGAAATACAATTGTAATTAAAATTTATTTTACTGCGTATTAGAATGTCCACTTGTATAATTTCCAAAAAATATTATTTCGAGTTAAAATTTTTTGGTTTAATAATAATTTAACATTTTGTTGTTTTTTCTTAAAAGTAACTATAATTATTTAATTAATTAAATTAAATAAATTTAATAGTAACTTTTAGCTTATTTTTAAAACAATGACTCATTTTTGTCTTTAAAAGATTCTCTATAATAATATTTCGGTTTTTAATGTCTATTCAAAAATAGTATAATAATAATTTTAAAAATGTAAGTAAAAAAAATTTTATGTAATGCATGATTTTTTATCAAAATTAAGCGAATAGAAATGTAGAGAATCTTTCAAAGGCGAAATAAACTTTTTTGTAAAAATTCGATAAAAATTATTATTCGTAGGGAACTTTTTAGAAAAACGCATAATGTTAATTAATTATTATTTAACACCAATTTTTGGCTTAAACTAATATTTCCTGAAAAATGTATAATAGAATCTTTCAAAAATTTTTTAAAATGAATTTTAAGTATAATTTCATTCGTTTACAATAATTTAAACAATGAAGTGATAAAATTATATTACGTGCGGAATAATGAAGGCTCTAACCGTACACGGCTCATTTAAACATTTTGATCTAAAAAATATATTATTATTACTATTGTTATTATTATTATTTATTATAAATTAAATTAGAACTAAAATAAATTGAAAAGCAAAGTTAATAATTTTTATAAATCTAAAATTAATTAAGATGCATAATAAAGTAAAAATATTTGTTTACCTGCTGCTTGGAGCATCGGCTCCAAGTTTCTTAAAAATCAAATTAAATCAAAGTAGTGATAAGATCAACTACTCATTTGTTAATCTTCTTCACTGGAAGGGCCAGATTCAATTAAAACTGCTCTTTTCTCTTTTTCTGCCCGCTTTTCCAATTTAGCTCTGAAATAAAAAGAAATAATGCTTAGTGTTTTGGTCATAGAATTTGATAAAAATTTTTAAAAACTGAACATAATAATACTAACTTCAATCGTTTGTCATTATTTTTGCACTGGTATAACCAGGTACTAATTCCGGTTTGAACGGATTTCAGATCGGTGTCCATTACCTGTACCGCTGCTTCTAATTGAATGAAATAAAAGTGTTTTAATTATTGATTAACATAGAGTTGCAAAATACAAAGTCTAATTTAAAAATTGATATAAAGTACCAAAACATAAATTTTGAAATTCGAACGACATTAAGGTTTAATATATTTATCTGACATCGATTGGCATAAAATTGAAAGAAACTGATACCAAAAATTGTAAAAACAACTGTTATATTTTAAAAAAAAAATTAGTCGTATTTTTTTTAATTTTTGCTCTTTAAAATGATAATAACTTTGAATAAATGATTTAAGAATGCATAAAAAAAATTTACTTTGAAATACTTTACAAGAAAGGGAAAAATGGCCACGATAGATGTTATAACATTTCTTAATAAGCTATGAGTAAAAACGATTTTTTAAGAATAATGAAAAACGCAATAAAATATTCTTAATGAATCTGGTTTAAAATATTATCTAACGTTTTGCGTGAAACAGACTGTTTAAACAAAAATTCATGAACACATATACAGTGTAATACTTACTGGAGATTAGTGCACAAATTTTTAATTCATCAAAGGCAATTTTCGACTGATGTTTTCCTTTAAAACAATATAACTGGCCCGTTTCGAATGTCATAATATTATCCATCATGGTCGCAACAGTAATTTTAACACATTTCCCTTTTCCTAATGTAAGTAATGCTTCCAACTGAAAATATATTTCATACAAATGTAGACATAGATAACTTTTATAAGACACTTTAATATATTAAGCGTAAATTTTAAATTAATAGTTAATAAGAAGTAAATTATATAAAACTTAAAGTATTAAAAAGTGAATACATTATGGCCGAAAATTGTGCAATCCTTTTTTTCAATGATTGCAAAAAAATTGCCAAATAACTTAAATTTTTCCTTTTCACTATTTCTTAAAAGCGATAAAATTAAAAAAAGACACCAAAAAATATAAAAATCACTTTTACAAAAAACTATAATGTTTAAAAATCAAACATATAGTCTAAAATTTCGCCAACTTTATTTGATGAATTTAGGATTGACATAATTTGTTGAGCTGTTTTTGGAAACTTAATATTAGGCTTAATATTATCGGCTTTTTTCACATCTTTGAGGGTTTACAAATTTTAAGGGAAGATGAATATCAATAAATTGTATTATGCAAAAAAATGCGATTTTGATTAGCTTAAAAACGTAAAAAAATCTCAATTTATCCTGTAGATATTAAAAAATTAGTAAAAATATTTAAAACTAGATTTTTCTAAAATATCTGATTGCAAACGTAAAATTTTTTGAGGTAAATTTTTTTCCAAATTGTACCCACTTTTAAGAAATAATAAAAGGAAACAATGTTTCGGTTTTATGCTCTTTAACTTTTGTACTAGTTAAGAAAAAGGATCGTAAAATTTCTGCCTTTAATATAAATTACCAAAATTTTTTGAAATCTTCCTGATTTCAACTTCTCTTCCAGACCTTCCATATCTTCTTTATTCTTCATTGGAAAAATACTCAATTCTCCTTCCCTAAAGAATCTGTTATCAAATGTTGGCATTTTCCCGTCAGTCACATAAGACAGTTTTACGTCGATAGATGTCAATTTTTTTAAAATTAATTTTGTGTTGTAACTATCTGTAAGAAAACATTTTTAACAGTACAACAATAGGAACAAAAAATTTGTCAAAGTCAAGTGTGACTTATACCTGATCACCTTTGACTCCGATTACTATTAAAATTATAAGTTAGGGGTGGAAGGATGCACACTTTTTTATGAATATTGAATTATTAAATATTCTTGAAATTAATCTATATTAATAAAATCTGACATCTGTCTGTACACTGCTTCAAACTTGAAAAATTTTTATTTTTTCGTTATAAGACATCAGAAATCGAAAATTGTAAAAAATAATTTATCTGTTCGTCTCTATGCAAAACTTTATTTGCGTATAACGCAGAAACGACTTAACTAATTGAAGTGCAGTTCTGTTTTTTTGTTAGCGGTACTCATACACCTTAAATTCATCAATTCTCATAATTCAAAAATATTGAGTTTAATCTACAATGTAACCAAACCACTGTTTTTTGGGATGGTTAAAAGAATCATGCAATTAATACTTAATTGCATATAATTTAAATCAATTTCGGTACAGGGATATTTTCAGGGTCTTGGATCAAGATTTTGTCAGCAGAAAAATAAAAAAAAATTTTTATTTAAGATAAAAAAATTTTAAATTCAGTAAATGTAACTGATTGCACTCAAAAGGTAAAAGTGTTTTTGGCATTTTTTATAAAAATTTTAACGACAAAATAGTATGAATAGAAATTTCAATTTACAAAATAAAAAATTTTATAGAGTTAAAAACTTATAGATTGCAATCGATTACACTTAAGCTTGGTATATATTTTGTTTGGGTTTTTGGTAAAGATTTTATCGTCAAAATAATAAGAACAGGAATTATTAATTTAATATAATTATTATTCTGAAACTCAAGAAATTAAGGGTTAAACAATTAAACGTTTGGTAAATTTAAATCGATTTCACATTATTTTTTCTAATTTAGTGTTTGTCCTCGATTCTAAAGTTTTTAAATATTTTACTGTGAAATCTTAACTTTAGAAAACAATAAAATTGTTAAAATTTGCTATTTAAAATTATATAAATAAAATATTACTTTTTTCGGTTCTTGAATTAGATTTTATCTCCAAGTTTTACAAAGTTAAAATTTTTACCATAACTGATTAAAATATTGATGGCAGAATATTTAAATTGGGAATTATATATTCAGAAAGTATGCTTCAAAGATTATAAGGGGTCATAGAAACTAATATAGTAAATTAACAAAAAAATACTAGAAATTTTAATTTTACTTTTTCTACTGTATCAAACAATACTGGCTGGTCCGGAAGCCAATATACAAATAAATTTCAAACTTCTTAACTTTTAAACTAATCGTAAAAATCCTTCATTAGTCATAATCGATCATGAAGAAAATCATTTAAATTTTAAACTTGTTCGATAGACGAACATGAGTTTGTATAACTAAAAGGGTTCATTGCATGAATCTTTCAAATTTAAGAAATTTTTAAATTAATTAGTTTAAAAAATGAATAAATAAAATTATTTATCTATTACATTTATTAATAAATTATTTTTTAATAACTAATGATTTATTTTAATTTTATTTCAAAAGAATTATTTTCAAAAGTACCTTCTTTTGAAGAATTTTCAGCCTCCTCAGTTTTCGAAGTTGAAGGTTCAGGTAATAGATTTGATGATTTTATTTCCCCTGAATTTAAAGGCAACTTTTTAGATAATTTAGTGGATGCAGGCATCGGTTTTGCTTTCTTAGTGTTTTCTTCCAATGATATTACGGGCAGTTTATGCTTCAAGTCTTGGGAAATTTTTAAATTCGTCGATGATGTTTTATCGGAAGAAATCTCTTCGATCGGTTCGGAAATTAAATTTACTTTAGGATCGTCATCCAGTTGATGTTCATCTTTCTCACTGGGATGGGGCCACAAACTATTACTAACAGCAACTGTAATATTTGAAAATTAAAGAAGTAGTTTAAATCTCAAATAGAATAGTATTTCTTTACATAATAATTACACAATTAACTGCATAACTACCTAAAACTTTCTGTTTATTTTTGGAAGTTTCTTGACCATCATCTTCTTCTTTAACTTTAATACACCTTGAGTGTCGTGTTTTCTTTAATTTTTCCATATTCACGTCATCGTCGCTATCAACCTCTGATATTTTTTCGCATAATTCTAATTTATGCAAGGCTTTCTCGTAAGTTGCTGTAACGTACATAATAATACCCGAATAACACAATTTAGAATTATGTTAGTTCTATTGTTTTAAAAATATAGTCTCTACTTCATGTGTAAATATATGAAAAAAAATTAATACCGAATAAGAAACATTAAAATTAATAATACATATTTTGACAAAATATGAATGAAGAAATCTATATTAATAAAATCAGACTTCTGTCTGTACATTGCCTCAAGCTTGGAAATTTTCGAAAGCTAGTATTATGATAAAATAAAATTTTACAAAAACATACTTATTAATAAATATCATTTTACATTATACAAGTTCTGAAATGTTTTTGACATTCTCATACTAAAAAACATTTCTTGACTCTCGAAAATTTTTTGTATTTCCAAAAAGTTAAGTAATTTTAGCTATTAGAACAATTGAATTTTTAAAATTTCTTAAAACTGAAGACAAGAAAAGCGAAAAATTGATCTACTCTTTTATATTATTTTTAAGCTATAGGTATTTATTTTAAGATGAAATTTATTGTATATATAGCAAATTATTTCTAAAAAATTAATCGAATAGTAAGGCATTGAAAATTTTATATTTAATTTAATTAAATTTAATATTAAAAACTAATAAAAAAAATAAGTTAAGTCACTTAAGAATTAAAAAATACATTGAAAATGTTCAATACCAAAACATAACTTCATAATAAAATTATTTTTATAATAAACAGTTAATAAAGAATATAATTTAATACTTCAATAATTTTTTAATATAATTAAAAATCTGATAAGGAAATAATTTAAATTTACCTGCATATTCGTGGCATTTTAAAATTGGAAATAGCTGTGCATTGTCATCATCTAATGGAGTCCTTGCCAAAAGCAATTTTACAATTTTTTGATTTGTTACGTTGCTTGGGTAATAACTTTCAATCATAGTTTTATCATAGTATTTTGCCCAAGAAGTTGCTATGATACTCATTCCATCCTCAAAAGATACCACGGCGTACGGTTTTAAAACATTTTTCTCATTCTCCATGTTACAAAATTCTATAATGATTAAACAAACTTATTTAAAATTATTAAACTCTTTTATTTCTGAATATTTAGCCTATATTTAATTATAAATTATCTAATGTATGAAACAAAAAAAATAACAATGTCTTTTTTATATTTTCAAAGCTTCTTAAATTTTTCATAATTCATATACAAATTTTGTAAGATATTATCAAATTATTTTCACTTTAAATTATACTTTTACGTTTTTCTAAAAACAATTGTTTCATTTTTTGAGAACAATAATTTATTTAAAAAATAACACTTCTATTTCATGTATAAAATATATATTTTAAATGTGAGAAAAACTGCTTTTCTTTATAATATCGTTTATAGTTACACACTGTAACATATGCATATTACAGTAGAATTTCATTATTTTATTGAGAGTAAATGTGCAAAAATCCGTGTAATGGAAAATACTATAAAAAGTGATATATTTTATAAATTACTTTACTTACAATATAAATTATAAAAAATGTACTTATTATATTGAAAATATTTTTTTTTATTTTAACATTTTTAATAAAGAATATTAGAGCTTAACTGTCCGAAGACTTTTTGTAAATTTAAAATAAAGGTCGTCAAATTGGACATTGAATTAAATGTAATAATAATGCTATATAAACATAATTATTAATATATTCAAACAAGACTTTGCGGATTATGATTCGAATCAGTAAATGGTGTTTAATTCTTATTTATAGCAAAAGGAAAACTTTGAAAAATCACATTAAACACGACTGACAATAAGCAATTAAATTAGAAAACATGTGCTTATGCTAAAAGTACCGGCATAACATAGACACGTGCAAAACATGCTTTCTTAGAGGATGCCTCACCAAATGAATATTTGGGAAATTATCTATTTTTAAGAGGATCATTTAAGAAAATTGTTATAATAATTTTTCTTAATTATAAGTAAATAAATAATATAAACAATCAACGTTAAAATGAACAAATTTATACTGATTAAAGATCTGATTCATTGTAGTTTCATAACCTCAATTGGGAAATATAAGCGAACATACTTAGACAAAGATGCACAAAACTTAATAAAATATGAAATAGACTGCTTACTTTTTTTACGTACTATCACTACACTTTAATACACTTATTTCACATATAATCATTTACTGCCGTTTCACCATGTAGTCTCCAAGTATCTCTCTGTATTGCTCTCTGCTGGACACGTTTATGCAAGTGTTACTTGATGCGCGATGTTGACACGCATGCGTAACATACAGCACATATATTTTAAATTCATTTTTTTCCAAATATTGCGTTTTTTAAAATAATGTAAAAAAGTAATCTACACGGAGAGAAATCTGGTGCGATTTACGCATGAGCATGTCCTTAGGAATATAGTAACAGACGCTTTCAAGCAAAAATCCTAAGTGAGCGAGGTATTATTGTATGAGTCTCACCTGATATTCAGATGGAATCTTATAGTTTTTGCTTGGAAGTGTCCATGCTATATTCCTATGGACTTGCTCATGCGCAAATCGCAGCAGATTTCTCTCCGTGTAATAAACTCGTACTCTAGTTATGTTTTTTTCATTGAATAACAAAAAAATAGTCTATTATGTATGTATGTTTAACTCAAGAAAAATTATTATCTCTTTGACACACTATGACTACTTTATGTTTTTGGGGTCGCTGAATGCGAATCTGAAGTTTATTTAACCCCATCCACGAAGTAAGAATAAGGAGTCTTCACTCCATGCGTCGATTAGAGAAAAAATGTCCCCAACTATGGTACAAGCATTCCGGAAAATTAGAATAAGCAGAGGTGGCGTTCGTAAGGGGAAAAACCTGAAACTTTTGATTTTCCTAAGGAAAGTCGTCTGCTATGTTGTTGTGGTGTCATGTTGTCATAATATTATTTTTTATATAATTAACTTAAGTTCACGAAGTTTCTGATTAAAAGTATTTATATTTTAATAAAAAATTATATTTGAAAATATAGTGTTTGATTTTAAAGAAAATAATCGCAATAATGGATAAGAATATTACCACAGTAAGTATTTATATTTTTTTAAAGTGAATGTTAACCTATAATTTTAACTAATTAAAGATATGAATTACAATAAAAATAGTATTATAATTTTGAGACTTGCATTATATAATAATTATTATTCATTCTCTTTTATATAGGTAAACGCAGAATGCTATAATTTAAATAATGTGGAAGAGGAAATAACTTTTTCGGAAATAAAAAATCATTTGGACCACATAATACTTCCTTTTGATAAGTGGGGTTTTACTAGAGGAAATACTTCTTTTTTTGGACTTCAAAGAGTTGAAGATAATTATGACATAAGAAAAAGGGTTGCAGTTTTTAGTAATATGAAGGTAAATGTTTATGTTGATGATAAAATAATGTCATTTCCACAATTTACAAAAATATCAACCATAAAAGAGTTAAGTGATCTTTTGAAAATTGTTGATGAATTAGAAATATGACTTTAAAGTAATTAGTAACTTAATTATTGAATTGCATTGTACTTTTAATTATCTTATTTTAAATGCAAACATTTTAAAATTTCTTTATTACATTTATTAATATAACATTTTTATATATTAAACTATTTTTAAATTTCATTATGAAAATGAATTTTTTTTCAAGTTGTAATACATAATTATTTGAATTCTGTTATGAAATTTCATATACATTATTTAATGTATCCTTAAAATAAAAAAATAAGAAAGGAAGAATGAGATATTTATTTTTTATTGGAAAAAATATTTTTTTACTTTATTAATTTTAAGAGCCGTATTTATTTTTTAGTGTTTTCTTTTTTTTATATTTACTGCGGGTTCTTTGTCAACATTCTGACTAGTTATCTTTGATAACTTTCTTTTCTCTTTTGTTTTTAGTCTATCTTTATTGTTTTTATTCCATTGTTTGGAAATGAAAAACATTCTCGTCGTGAGGTAAAATGTTGTGATACTATGTGTCAATTGTTTAAAATGTTTTTCACATCCAACATATGGTATTATTGTCAATTCTTCTAATTTTTTAGTAATGTCAAATAGAATGTCAGCTTCAACCTTTCCGTCTCCAACAACTTCCATGACTGTGTGTTCTAAGAGGTCAATTAAGGAACAAAGATGCAATGAAGGATACAGGAGGTATCCTTTTGTCCTTACAGAAATTAATTTATATCGTTCGGGAATATTATCATCTTTAGATAATACCAAACTCGTCTTACATTCGTTGCAATAAATTTTTTTTTTATTCTCAATAAATTTAGCAAATCTACTGGATGCTTTTCTAGCTACATATCCAGCTATGTAAGAATTTGCATATTTAGAAGCTTCTGATTCTGTATACCTATGGTCTTCAAGTATAGCAGTAGCTTCAGTCAAAGCATCCTATTGACAACCAGCATCGAGAATTGTATCAATTTGAGCTTCCCACTGCTCCTTTCTTTCTTCTTCATTCTCAATATCTTTAATTTTTAGTAATACTTCAAAAATTTCATCACTTTTAATATTTGACCCCTTTGGCGGTTGAATTAAAGAGTAGGTGGAAATAAGGCGATACATTTGAATAAATAATTGCGAATCAGGATGGTCATTAGAACCGCAAGCATCGCGCATCATGCCAAAAAATCTCTAAAAAAAAATATATATATATAGAAGTAAAATAAATTTTAAAAAATACTATTTAAAATAAATGTATTTACTTCTAATGAATCTTGATTTAAACGAGATGTCATCAGGAAGGAGAACCCACATTCGCTTGTGAGATAATTACAAATTTCTAAAGTCGCTTTCAGCGACACTGTCAAGCCGTAGAACGAACTTTCAGATAAAAAATTGTAATTCTCTATTTTAGCATGAAGCTGCCATTCTTCCAAATATTTTATGAAATATTTAACAATCTAAAAAAAATTTGTATATTTAAGTAAACTGTAAAAAAATATTTATAAATATATATAATGGAGAATAACATGAGAAGGAACGACTTGTTCGATTGTATTTTAAGACAAAACAACATCATATTTTTTTATAATATTAATGAAAAGGTGTATTAATTTTGGAATAAGTTCAAAATAAGGAAATGTTCCAATAACTTTATCAATAAAGTGCTTATGTGCTAAGTTCAACAGTTCAAAAATAGTTCCGTTCCATGCAGATGTTTCCATGTCATTTGTCTACATTAATTGCATTATATAACGTACATTATAAGAATCGTTGCCGGGTGACATGGAATTGATTGGTGTTCTACAATTCATTGAGGTGATTAAACTTTTCCACCTTTTGCAAAATTGTATAGCCGGTTCACAGTCTTCTAATTCCGGATGTCTATTTTTGAAGACTTCAAAAACATCAGCTACACTAAAAAACTGCAATGATACAATTTTATAATAATTTATTAGAATAAATTTGGATTTGTTCTCAGTTATCATACGAGGTGGAACAAAGTTTCACTTGCGTATACTTTATACTGAATATTTACCTGGAAGGCTAGAGCAACATTCATTTTTTGAAAGAACTTAGGTTCTAAATGGTCTTTAGTTAATTTAAAATTAACTTTGACATTGTAACATTCTGGATTTTCCACTTCTAAAAGTGCGTACCAGAAAAGCAATGCTACAATGCCATCGGGTGTCTGAAAATTGTAAGTAAAATTTTATAATGTCGTTAAAAATAGTTATTATTTTTTAAATTAATTATATACCCAAATTCCTTCACGCAGACCATGTTTAATAAAAAAATTTCTGATGCACTTTATTAGATGAGGAAAGTCTGAGATAAACCAGAGCCTTCTATGTGGGTCGCAAATATGTTCTACACTTATATTTTCAGCAGTTATTCCAAACTGCTTCCACATATTACGATTCCAGGTCGCTCCATCTGTCGTAACCACATCAATGAAAAGTCCTGCATTTTCAGCTAAAATAATTGCTTCAACAATTATTTTATGAAGGACAGTTCCCGTCGCACTTCCCTTGCTTAAGAAGCACCCCAATGTCTGAATCCATTTTCCTTTAAATGGCTGAAACATTATGACTAGAGCGTGATCTTCAGCAACACCTTTTTGATGCTCTGGAGTATGATCACCAAGGTTCGTAAATCCCTCCATCTTTAATGATGTTCTATTGAAATGAATAGATTTTGTTAATTGCATTTCATCAATTAACAAACATCCTGCAAATTTTGAGGTGAAAATTAATAACATTATTTTTATATTATTCTGTTATAAACATGATATAATTTGAAGTAGTATATTTAATATGGTAAATTTATTAATTTGTTAGATTTAAATAAGAAATAATTTTTTTAATTTAATAATAAAAAGAGGATTTATAGTTTGTTTTTTTATTTTCAAAATTTCTTCATTTAATAATGTTTAAAAAATACGTAAAATTTATTTACCGTGAAGTTCATCAGATTTCATGTGTTTTGTTTTTTCTTTAATTCCAGAAAAAACATTACTTTGAAATCCATATTGACTTTTCATGAACTTCGTATATCTATCTAAAGTTTGGAGAGACGGTAAAGGTAAAATTTTTTTTTTTCTCAAATGATTGTACCCTTTCTTACTCTTAATGCGAAGAAGGATGCATTCATAAATCCACTGCAGTTGGTACCTTCTTCCTCTAGAATTTTTTACTTTTGAAGCTGAAAGTATAGCTCGGCAAGTATTCTGTTCACTTTCAGATAAATTTCCAATACGTTTGTTCAAAACGTCTTCTTCTGACTTTGAACATTCTTCTCTCAATACTTCTATATTTTCTTTCAGCTTTTGTACCTAATAATTTTATAAATTTTATTGAAAATATCAACATAAATTTTTATGAAAATGAACGAAAATTGGATTTTTAAAATACAATTGCCTTAATACTTCCAAAGTTAAATTTGTTTTTCTTATATTAGTATTAAAATTACCTTCTTCTGCAGTCTTTTATTTTTCTTATTTATTCCTTTTAATTTTTCCCTTAACGAATTATTATTAATCTGTTTCAGATTCATATAATTTTTTTTTAATTTTTTATTTTGGTAAATTTTTGATTTCATACATTGAAAACAAAATTTCTGCTGTTTTCCTGGTGTTCCTTTTTCTTTGGGAAGTACAAAACCACGACATTGTACAGATCTAAAAAAATGTATTTGTTTTTATTCTTACACAATATTTATATTTGTAAATTTTAAATTCCAGCATTATTTTTACCTTACAAAATTGCTTTCTGCGCAAGGTAAAAGCTCTGATACATATTTCAACATGTCTATAATACTTTCTACATCTGTAACATATTGCCACTGTTCTAAAAAAATTTCTTTATTTTTTGAAAAAATCTGAAAATAATTAATTTGAATAAATTTATAGTAAAATACATTAAACATAATAATCTTGTATGAGGAAAAGTATTATTATAAAATTAAAAATTTTATATTTTAAAGAAGTTAAGACATTGAATAAATATTAATTTATTATGATAATTTGTACCTAACATGTCAATCACAAATTAATTAATTTTATTCATTTTAATAAACTTCTTTAAAAATTATTTAAAATTATAAAATTTCTATTCAAAAATGATTACATACATTCTATAATAAAAATAATAAAAAATTTTTAATCAAACTCAAATAAAATTCAATAATTTAAAACATTCAAAAGTAAAAACTATTCCAATTATAAAGTAATTGATAAAATTCTAAATTCAAATAAGTCGTATGTATATATATAAATTAAATTTTTATTTTATAAAAAAAATTTATATTTTTTACATTTTTTGGAATTAATTAAACAATTTTCACACTTTTATTTTAAATTCGTCTAAATAAATAATAAATTTAAGTTTTTAACTTATAAGCATGTTAAAGTACCTTTATTGACATATCAGAATTTAATACAACTTTATTTCTCAATTCAGTTATATTCTCCGTCCAATTGCTCCACATAATGCAATTTTCCAAACGTTGAACGATCCAAAATTCATTTGGTAATTTAATGCTTTCACAGTTTTTAAAAATTATTTTAAAATTACTTTCTAAATTAAAATTTTTAATTCCACGTGGTGGACTGAATATATCTATAATTTTTTTAGATTCTTTTCCTTTATTATTTTTGTTGGTAGGGAAAATTGAAGGAATTGATCCTTTTACTAACGTAGATCGCAATGTTGTAATCTTCAGTTTTGGATCTTCTACATCAGATATATAATGTCTTATAACATTATTTTCAGAGAAGTGAAGATCGCAAACAACATTTTTTTTTTCAAGTTTATGTCCCCCAGGGATTGCATCTCTCCATGCCTGTAGCATGTCGTCCTATAAATTAGTTAATATTATTTGCACAAAAATAATAAAAAAAAAAGTTTATTTTAATTAAATAATTTATTTAAGAAACCGTTGCATGAAAAAAACATCTCTTCATCTCTGGGTTGACTTCTTTTTTGTTCCGATAATAAGAAGAATTACAACTATTTACAAAACAAGACGGCATCTGCAAAATTTTTCAATTAAAAAAATTAAAAAAAAAATAATTTTTAATTTCTTGTTAATCATTAAGAAAATTATAATTTAAATAAAATAAAAATAAAAAAAAAAGACTTTAAAGTAAATGTACTTAATTTAAACGAAAACAGAACAGATAATAATTTAAAGGGATTAAAAGTCGAATAAGTCAAAATTAAACATGACAAAATAAGAAGTAGCTAAACTTGCAACAAAAATAAATAAATCACAAGGTTATATATAAGAATAAAAATACTAAACTGAAGATAATATTGAAGTAATTGGAGAACTTTTAACTACAATTTTTAATTTAAAATAAATTGTTAACTATAAAATTAAAAATATTACAATTAAATTACAAAAATATTATATAATTATATAAAATATACATAAATTATAAATGTTCAATTAAATTATTATAATATTAATTTATAATATTAAAAATATTTTTATTTTAAATATAATTAATGGAAAAAAAATTTCTCATATAAATAATTATATATAAAATGTTAATTTTTAATTTTATATAAACTTTTAATGTACATTTTAATATAAATATTTACAAAATGAACTTTCATTTAATTTATTATAGTGTACTGAAAATACATTAACCGTTTACTTACCTTATTAATTATAGAAAATATCCAAAACAGTAACAAAATAATTTAAATATATCAAATGATATTAAAAAAATATTCTTTATTTATAAAACAATATAACAAATTTAAAGCACTATTTTTAAACACTATTAAATTAGAAAAAAATAACAAAATTATTTTCCCGCAAAAACATACACACGTTACACTTGCACTTTTTAAAATGGATAGTTTCAGGTTTTTCCCGTTACGAACGCCACCTCTGCCTATTCTAATTTTCCGGAATGCTTGTACCATAGTTGGGGACATGTTTCTTTCAAAGTGGAGACTCCTTATTCTTACTTCGTGACCCCATCACGTCAGGGTTTTGAAATAACCTCAAAAAACCCAAAATTTTACCCCAAAATGTCGAAATCAAACAAAAGTCTTTTTTCTTTGTCTCACTATGGCTACTTTATGTTTGTGCGGTCGCTGAATCCGAATCTGAACTCTATTTAACCCCATCAGATCAGGGTTTTAACAAAACCTCAAAAAAGACATAATTGCATCCAAACATTTTAAAATCAGGGAAATTTCTTATCTCTAAGTCTTACCATGACTACTTTATGTTTTCGGGGTCGCTGAAACCGAATCTGAAGTCTGTTTAACCCATTCCCGTCAGAATGTTGAAATAAATTCGAAAAACCTCTAAAACATAAAGCAGTCATAATGAGACAAAGAAATAAGAATTTTTCTTGATTTCGAAATTTTGGTGTAAAATTTTTGGTTTTTTGAGGTCATTTCAAAACCCTGACGTGATGGGGTTAAATAGACTTCAGATACGCATTTAGCAACCTCAAAAACCATCTTAAGGTTATGTGTGAACCCTGAGGTGATGGGGTCAAACAAACTTCGGATCCGCAATCAAAAGATATGAAGCAGTCGTAGTAAGATTTAGAGTTAAGAATTTTTACTGATTTCAAAATTTTGAGGTACAATTTTGGTTTTTTGAGGTAATGTCAAAACGCTGGCATGATGGGGTTAAATAGACTTCAGATTCGGTTTCAGCGACCCCGAAAACATAAAATTGGCATGGTCTGATCAAAAGTTCAGAACATGCATTTTTTTGTTTGCCAGTGTTATAAATGTTACATTATAACAAATGTTATTTAATATTTATGAGGACTTTATTATGAATATTTTAAATATAAAACATAACTAACTCATTATTGAAAATATAAATACATAGTGTTGTAACGATTTATTAAAATATGAATTTCAGAATTTTATAACTTTATTTTTCGAAATATTGTCAATTTCTATTTTAATAAAATTTTTTTTAAGTAAACTTATGATTCGAACAGCAAATCATTATTGTGAACCTAAAAAATACAACCGCATAAAAGTTGATTACAAAAAATTCCAATTTTTGAGGTTTTGATTTTTTGGTTCTTAAATATATGAATCTAACATTTTGAATCTGTAATCGAGAATATCAGAGAATATCGAGAATATCAGGGAATACCAAGAATATTGAATATATCTAAAGAATATATGAGAATATTTAGCGCGTGTACGAGGAATATCGGAGTTGTTCACTCCTCGAAATTTTTTTATTCGAATTAATTTACAGAAATACGATCTACTAAAAATAATTTATGCCGTTTGGCCTTAAAAATTGAAATCAATTCAATTCTGTTGAGACATATTTAACTTTACATTTATAATTTTTCTTAGAAATTATTCCAACTAAAAAAAATTACTCTCGAACCCCAAACGAACTGAAATTTTTTATATTTGCAAAAATTATTCATAAGAGATATTAAATAATGTTTAACTAAGTTTATTTTCTTTTTTCTAAATTGAAATAAGTCAGTACATTTGCGTCCAATCATTGACTTTTTAAAAAATCCGTTTTATTATTTAAAAATTACAAACCACTTAGTCGAACCCATTTAATTTTTTCAGTAGGAGAGTTAAAACTTCAAAACCTATTGACTTATCATCCCATAGATGTCTTTGACTTAAAAAATTTAAATTTTCTTAACTTTCCAGAAGAAACAGAGATATTTTAACTTCAATCGTTAATTTCATGTTTCAAAATAAAATTTTAGGAATTTTGAAATTCTGTAACTACGAGGTTTTTACACTCAAATAGGGGTAAAACTTGTCAAAATTTCCCAAATTTAGTAAGAAATTAGACCATATAAATAATTCTAATCGTGCAAAAGCAATCCCTTTTCATGTGAACGTATTTATGGCATTCAACGTAAAATGACTGAGGGTCAAAATTTAGTATACGTGGGATTCGGTTAAAATTAAAAGTACTATATATTATTAATAAAATTAAGCAAATATAAAAGATGGAGAGGGTCTAAAGTTTAAGTTTTTGTTAAAATTATATATTTCTTTTACCATCTGGTGAGAAAACGTTTATATTATAATTATGGCATCAGGAGCTTTTTTACCTTCCACCTTCTTTTACCTTCTTCTTTTTACTTTTTAAGGATATAAATTTTTTTTCCAAAGAATGAAATTTCATTCTAAGAAATGCAAATAAACACAAAAATTTTGTTATTTAAGAACACCGCATTGTTTTTTTAATTCCTTAAATTTTTTCCTATAGAATTGAGGTACTTTTTCCAAAAAAGTAGGTCGTCAGAATTAATTTCGTTTTAATAACGTATTAAAAATTCATTAAAAATAAAATTATGAAAATAAAATGTACTAGATGCATATGTGCCTTGAATTAGCAGCATTATATTTATTATAATTTTTCATTATTCAAGGATCTGTGAATCATCTCACTCTTCAAATACTATAGAAAATTTACACGAAAACTCAATAAATCCATTTCTTCCGCATTTAAGTGATGAAAATGGATCAACTGTTGACGAAGCAATGGCAGAACAAATTGACAACCGCAGGTACTAAGAAAAATAAAAAATTTAAAAAATATAACATATATTTACTTTTATTGAGATAGCTGAATATCGAAAGATTTTACAATTTCTGAGGTATTAAGTACAAGTATAAAACAGAATTAAATCAATAATAATTTGAAAGTAGCCTTTATAAAAAAATTAATTGAAAAGTAAAATAGTATTTAGTTTTCTAGAAATTAAATGTGATGCGTCGCGAAAAAAGGGACCAGAGTGTCCAAAAATTAACTGTTGAGATTGTAATTTTTTAAATGAAACTGATTTTTCTAAAAAAACTTCGACAAAGTGCGCTGTCCATTTCAGGCCCACAACATGAGTTTTTTCTTTAACAGTGAAGAGGTTAAACATAACAAGAAAATCGGAAAATTAATTATAAAAACACATGTAGATTTAAAAGTAGCATTAAATTTTTGAAAATTTAATTTTTTTTATTGATGCTTTTATTTAAAAATGGTAGCAAATATAGTCAATTGATCTGGAAAATCTAATTTTTTTAAAACATCTAGTAAAATATATTTTAATTGTAAAAAAATAAATGCAAAAGAACGCAAGAACTTAAAATTTATTTTTATTATTTATATTTTTAAAAGTGCGTAACATCATTTCCAAATGTTCTTATAACAAAATTTTATCTTAAATATATGTTTAAATAGTAACTTTTAGGTTATAGATTTTTATCGTTTAAAATTATAGTAGAAATTTGAAGAAATTCATTTAAGTAATAAGGTAAACGACCCAGTCGCTGGACATGTACCAGGGACTGGATTTTAGCAAAAATTGTATATAAAAATAAAGTTTCTTATATTTTTTTAATAAATAATTTTTCTGTAAATTTTTGTTTATAATAATTTATGAAAAAAATATAAGAAACTTCATTTTTATATACAATTTTTGCTAAAATCCATTCACTGGTACATGTCCAGCGACTGGGTCATTTACCTTATTTATCATTTTAGTACTTTAAAAATGTATTTCTTTTATCATCTAGTGTGAGTTGCTGTGAAATGGAATGTCATTTTGAAAACAAAGACGTGTTAGAATCAGACACTAATGATAGCTCACAATCTGATGACTCCTTCATAAGCGACAGTGAAAATGCAGACGATGTATCTGGAGATGAAATGTCTACAGTCGAAGATACAGATATTGACTTTAACAATGGTTGTAACGCAGGAAAATCTTTACAAGATAAAATAAGAAGTTGGGCTTTGCTGTTTCATATTTCTCTTGTTGCATTAACTGCACTACTTCTAATTTTTCAATCGGTTGTAAAGTTTCCATTACCATCAGATGCCAGAACACTTCTGGGAACATTGAGAAATGTTAAAATTTCTCAAATGAGCAATGGAAAATATCATCATTTTGGCGTAGAAAGAGCTGTTCGCGCAATTTTACAAGAATTTCGGAGGAAGGGCAAAACACTGGATCAAATTAAACTAGTCTTCAATATCGATGGCCTACCTATATCAAATTCCGGAACTGACAGTTTGTGGCTAATTCTTTGTTCGGAAATTAATGGAGACGAAGTTTACCCAGTAGGAGCATTCTATGGAAAGACAAAACCTGATGACGCAAATGAATTTATGCATGAATTCACACAAGAATTGATTCACTTATGCGAAAACGGTTTTGACGATGCAGATAATGTTTTAATATCTTGTGAGTGCATTGTCTGTGATGCTCCGGCAAAATCTTTTGCTTTTTATTTAAAAGGACACACGGGATACAGTAGCTGCTCGAAATGTGAATATTACTTATATCCCGAGAAATAAAGGAAAAAAAAAGAAGAAAGGAACAGTATGCTTTCCAGGTACTAAACTATTGAAACTGAAGACTAACGAGGGATTCAACCGCAATGATTACAATGATCTGGAAGCAGGGACAGAAACAATTTTGAAAAAAATTCCAAACTTTGGTTGTATAACTAACGTTCCGTTGGATTACATGCACCTAGTATTACTGGGTGTCATGAAAAAGCTTATACAACTGTGGGTGAAAGGACCATTTAAATTGAGATTTAATACAAAACAAATAAATAAAATTACAAAAAAATTGTTAACCCTCCGTCAAAGTACACCGTGCGAATTTGGAAGAAAGCCACGCTCTTTGCGAGAATATTCTCATTGGAAAGCTACAGAATTCAGAACGTTTCTTCTGTACACCGGTCCAGTAGTTTTAAAAAATATTCGACAAGATATTTATGAGAATTTCTTACTTCTTCACACTGCGATGTCAGTGTTAGTAAGCGATATACATTTACAAATGCCGTCAAACATAGATATTTGTCATAATTACTTACTACGATTTGTTGAAGGATTTCAAACTATTTACGGAAAGCAATATGTATCTCATAACGTACATAATTTGCTGCACTTGTGCTCCGATGTTAAAAAATTTGGTCGCTTGGATAAATTTAGTTCATTCAGATTTGAAAATTATCTTTCATCTGTAAAGAAATGGATCAGAAAAGGAAATCAGCCCCTTGAGCAAATTGCTCGGAGGTACTCAGAGCGGGAAAATAATTTAAAGGAATTGAAGATAACAGAAACCGTAAACTTAACAAATCCTCATACAGATGGACCGTTAGTAAGAGATAATTTTTCTATAAAACAACAATATAAAATTTTGTCCAACAAATCATTTACCCTAAATTGCCTTGAACCGAAAGATAGCTGCATTTTATTAAAAGATGGAAACTTTGGACTCGTTAAAAATATTATTGATTGTAACAATGAAATAAGGCTGATAGTAAAAAAAATAAATTCTGTTTCTTCTTTATATGACAATCCAGACTCAAGATATATTAACATACATAAAGGAATTATTTCGAAGGAAAACGAGTTCTCAATATCAATGACAAAAGTTTTATGTAAAGTATGGAGAATACCCTCTACTTCAGAAATTATGTTGCTACCCTTGCAACATGCGGCGTAATTTAAAGGAACTGTTAGTAATTACAACATGCAAAATTTTCGGTGAGTACTTAAACAAGTGTATAACAATGTTACATTTAATAAATAACTAATTTATTTTTGTTTAAACTTTAGAGGTGCTTTAAAAATTTCGAAAATTTCAATATTAATTAAATTTTATTAATTTCACAAGCAACTGAATTTTGAGTTGTCTAAATATTTTAATTGTTCCTATTAGACTAATATTTCATATATTATTTATATTTTTTAAGTTAACATTAATGAAATAATGATATATTTTAAAGATCTTAAGTTCAATAAAAAGAAAATGAATTTGAATAATAAAATTATAAATATAAAAAAGAAATAATCAAGTACGCACACAATAAAAAATTAAAATATCCATAAACAAATAATCTGCATTTATAATGTTTCAATGAATTTTAATGGATCGATGTTAATGACTATTTCAGATTTCAATGGACCAAAAAAGGTTATACATTAGAATAATAGATTGAACAAAAGTACTTCTCAAGATGACAATATGCATTACTGTACACCTAACCAAGGGTAGCATTTTACATTTGTATTCTTGGAGTTAATAACACCATGTTTATTTCGAGAGAATCTATCTCAACCATTGAAAAAAAAGTCAAGCTTTCGTTGCCTTAACATTAAATTTTTCAGAGTCGAAAAGAAGTGCTTCTGTTTTAGGAGGTATTAGCAGGTATTAATGGCATTATTTAATATACAATTAATTAAATAACTCGATTTCTAAATTTAAAAAATTTCTGTTTTAATATATTCTTTAAAAAAATTCAATTCTAATTTTATTGCAGTTTTAATGTGATTTTTAAGTTAGTTTTATTTTTTAATTTTTAATTCCAGATCTCGGAATGGTTTCCTACAAGACATTTTCAATTATGACTGAGACAGTGATTACACATCAACGCAATTACAATTTAGTTTATATCAAATTCAATTTGGCTAAACAAACATGCTTGATTTCACAACGATTTTATTTATTTTATAACAAAGTCTCTGGAGAGTTAAAAATTTAAAAGGTATTTTTGTGACAAAACCCAAGAAGTGTACTTCACTTTGTAATTATTTTATATATTTTTACAACCAATAATATAATCACATTAAGAGAAAAAATTGGTTTGCATACTAATTAAATAAATGTATTTAATAAATTTTTAAAATATTTAAAATACTGTTTCTTTTTTATACCTTTTTCACCAGTTTTCTAGTTGGATGTTTACTTCAATTTTTAATAATAATTTAATTAATTTTATTATTCTTTAAATTGCTTTTTTAATTTGCATAAAATGTTTACCGCAATTTTTCAGCAAATTGTTTCTGCAAGTGTTCAGAAAATTTGCTTTTAAATTTGCAGCAATTTTTCAATGCAAATTTGCAGTAACTTTAAATTGCAAACTTGCCGTAAGTTTGCACTGCCAATTTTCAGCAAGTTTGCAATGCAAGCTTGCCACAAGAGGGACATTTCGTTATTTGCAGCAAGTTTGCTGCAAACTTGTTATGCAAACTTGCATACTTTGCATTGCAAACTTGCTGCAAACTTGCTGCAAAATGTTGTGCTATGTGGGGTACATGCGTCTTTTTTTTATTTACAAAACTATTTATCTGGATATTAATAATTTTGTTTAAAAACATAAGCTTTCGCACAACTTTTGCTATTAGAAATTTGTTCCACATTGCAGATTGTTTACCAGCAGGGTCGTTTTAAACTAGAATGACCAAAATATTGAAAATATCATGTTTGGAATCTTTATTTTTTTTCATAGAATAAAAATTACACACGTGAATACTTAATTTTGGTTTGATATCTAGCTTAAACTTTTAACAAGATATAATTAAACAAAAATTAAATGAAACTATCGTGTTCAATTTATGTAGCGTAAAGCGTAAAAAAGTTGAAATATGCTAACTGTAATTCAGTTAAATTTTTCTAACGTCTAACGTTCCTTTAGAAATAATTGATTCGCAACTCTGAAATTATTATTTTTATTCTCAGAGTAAAAGGTTTTCAATTATTTCCATATAGAATATTTTTTGGAAAGAGGTTTACATTGTAAATCCTGCAAAAGTCATAGATTTTTGAGGGTCTGGAAAACTTGGAAGTATCATGGAATTTTCAAATTTAATCTGGAATTTCATTAATTTAAATGTTTTTTTTAACTTTCTTAACTAAAGACTTGAATACTTGTGAAAAAATAATTAAATATTTATTTTATAATTTATTAATTTACCAGGTTTTTTAAAGTAAAATAAATTAAATTACAGGAATTTATAAAATTTCTCTATTTTTGTCAGATTTTTTACGAATTCCAGTTATTTTCAAAATTTCATAAAAATTTGAATAAGTTCAAAAATATTTAAAGTTTCTACATGTTCTTAGGTTTATATTTTTATATTTTCTTAATTTTTCACTCTATTCCCCTATCTTATCTTAAAACTCAAATAATGGGGCTGACTTGTTGAACACAAAAATTTTTTATTTCCATACTTTTTAAGTTTACAGATGATTCATATTCATCAAGAAATGGTTGGTCTCATAATTCTGACTGGTGGGGTAATGTAAAACAGTCTTAAAACATTTTGTTTAAGGAAAATATACGTTCAGATTTTTTCCTATTTTTTCTCTTTTTTTAATTCGAGATGTCCCTATATTCCTCTTTTTCTAGCATATTTTAAGTTGTGAAGCCTGTGTCAGTGCATACACTTTTTCTAATTTTTCTCAGGAATGACTACTTATTTGAAATTCATATATTCAAGTTCAATTCATATATTCAAATAACTCAAGCGTTATGTTATTGATAACAAAATTTTATTGTAGATATTTGAATGTCTCAATTTAGAAAAATAATTTTTACAGATGTCCATGTACAAGATAATGGTTTAGGTGGAGATAGACTTGAACGATTCCAAGAGTAACTATCATCATACAGATATAAATCATCTACTAAACGTCCCAACGAAAAGGTCAGTATTATTTAATATTTAATAAATAATAATTTGTAATTCGGTTAAAAAAAGTGGATACTTACATTTGCTAACCTTTTACTATGAAATATTACTGAGTCATTGTCGTTTCGAAAGTAAAACATTCTAAAAACGTGATTTGTTGAATAATTTTAGCAGATATTTGAAACGTACTTTCATTTTTGTTAAGAAGCAAAGTATTCAAGAAATAATAAGTAGAAGATATGTCAGATTCTATTACTTATTACTATGAAAGCTATGTAAATAAACAGCTAATGATATAATTTTTATAAACATTTTCTAATGTATTCTATTAATGATAAGATATTTCAATGTTGTTTCTTTCAATACTGTTAAATTAATATTAGGGTTATTTTCCACTTAGCGTATAATTCCATGACCCTTATATATTTTTTAAAAATAAGTTAAATAAATTGTAATGAATTCAACAAGAAAAAACAGCTTTTCTGTTTACCAACAAAAGCCAATAGTTACTTTTGTTCGTAACATTATAATTTCTTCTTCAAATTCAAATTAGAGAGCCAAATCGTCATGATTGAGTCTGTCTCTAGTATCATTTATAAAATTGAAATTGGTATTTTTGGTAGAATGCAGTGATTTATCTACTTACTAGATACTTGATTATTTTCTGTTTTTATACATCTAAAGCGATATTTTCACACAGGAAATCACAAAATTGTCACTATGAAGCCTTCACATACTTTCAAATAAATCACTATTTATTATGAATAATTTGTCCAGACCATCACCAGATATTTACTTTATTTGAGCACTTACCTTGAATATTATAATTTAATTATTGTTAAATTAAAAAACATTTAATAACAATAACTAAATTATACGATACGCAGAGAATTACTTATTATTATTTTATACAAATTTCATTTATTAATATTCATTTTTTGAAAAAATGTAAAACTTAATTTTATCAATTTGCAGGTCTTAGGTAAAAGTGTTCCTATGGTAAAAAAACAAAAGAGTAAAACATCATACATGAAAAGAGTAATAAAAATTCTCTGGAAAAATAGAATGAATGATAAGGGTGAATTTGAGTTCATGAGCAACACCATTGGAAAACACATGATCATCTCTCTAAACGGGAGAAAAGATTATCCTCTAGAAGAATTGAAATCCTTGGCTTTAAAAGAATTTGTTACGGAAAAAAACAATATTTTTTTCAAAATTCTATCGTTCAATTAAAACTAGAAGATAGTTCTTTCATCACAGAGTATAAGAATGAATATGGAGATGAATCAAATGAACCAACGACATCTAATGTTTTCGATTTCAGTGACAGTGTAAATACTGACGTTGAGGTTTTTCCAAAATACAGAAGTCAGAAATCAGAATACACGTCGACGTTAATCATGGACAAGAAGCAGGCATTAAAAAAAAGCATACATTCTGATTCCAATGTCATACCCGAAACTCACTCTGAAACATCTTCAAACAGCTCATCGAGAAGTTAAACCCCTCCACCACCAGAAAAGAAAAAATTTGTTCTAGAAACGAAAACACGTTACGACAAAAGCCGGCAACATAACAAAGATTTTGGCCCCTCAATAGTATAGCAAGGGGGCTTCTACCCCAGGTTCTGATCTCGGCTAAGTACCTGCAGTCGGTAACTGCTCGGTCGGTAATTCAGATTTCTACTTTATCAGCAGTCGGTAAGGTAGGAATCTGACAAAAATTTCAACTCGACCGATAAGGTAGGAAACTGTTTTACCGACCGAACATTGAAGTTAGTTTACCGACCACCTAATAGATGGCGCTCACTTCAGAGTGTGTTGCCGACTTTAATTAACCTGTTTTATTGAACATTGAAGTTAGTTTACCGACCACCCAATAGATGGCGCTCACTTCAGTCTGTGTTTTTATCATTTTTTTACTGAATTAGTTTACACGGGAAAAAGAAAAACGTTGGATTAATACCGTTTTCCGATTGGTTCAACGGCAAGGAGCGCTGTAGGCAGTGTCTGTTGGATCAACTTACTTGTAACAATAGATTGACAGTAGGTTCAACAGTAAAAGTCTGTTGAATCAATGCCGAAATCGTGACAGGGCCCACTGACGTTGAACCAATCGGAAAACGGTATTAATCCAACGTTTCTCTTTTTCCCGTGTACCGACCACCCAATAGATGGCGCTCACTTCATTCTGTGTTTTTAACATTTTTTACTGAATTAGTTTACCGACCACCCAATAGATGGCGCTCACTTCAGTCTGTGGTTTTAAACTTTTTTACTGAATTAGTTTACCAACCACCCAATAGATGGCGCTCACTTTTATTATCAACTTTTTTTAAAGAAATATTTTTCAATTAAAACTGTTTTACCGACCGACTTAGTTTACCCGATAGGTGGCGCTTACCTTTCTTATCGACTTTGTATTTTTAGATATTATTTTAAATTTATTTCCACGCAACAGTGCTGCGCTCTTTACCTCATGGTAAAATTCTCACTCGGTCGATAGTTGGTAACTGGTCGACGGAGCGTGCGAGCTAGTTAGGTACGGTGCCGCACTAGTGGAGCCGCGCGAGTAGTACCCCCCACCCGGCGGCGGCGCGCGCCGCTCCGTGCCTGCGGTAGTGGTGGGGTACTGCCTATAAGGGCCAGTTTCATCAACTCCGGTTAAAAGTTAATCAGCGATTAAATCCCTAACCGACCAATCATGAGCGGTTAAATTGGCTTTAATCGCTGATTAACTTTTAACCATAGTTGGTGAAACCGGCCCTAAGGGCCGATTTCACCAACGCCGATTAAAAGTTAATCAATCATTAAATCCTGAATCAACCAATCATGAGCTGTTAAACTGACTTTAATCATTGATTAACTTTTAATCGGAGTTGGTGAAACTGGCCCTAAGAATCGGACTGCTCTGGTGGATCCACATAATCTGTTCTAGATGAGCCACGAGAGCAGTCGCAAAATGGAACGGTGCCACTGCTGGCACTGTGTTGAGGAACAATTGAGAAATGTAAGTACATAATAATTACTCATTAAATATATATAATATAATATATAATATAATATAAAATATCATATAAAATATAATATATTTTTAGAGAGAATATGAGCTTCTAGAAACTCCCCCCAATTCCCCCGCAGAAGGGGGTCTAGAGGTGGATGATGGCTTGTATGAGCTGTCTGGGGGTCGATTACGTAACTTTCTCACTTCGCACATCCCACATCTCACTTCCCACATTTTACATCCCACTTCCCAAATCCCACATCTCACTTCCTACATTTTACATCCCACTTCCCACATCTCACTTCTCACATCCCATATTTCACATCTCACTTCTTACTTCACATATTTCATATCCCACTTCCCATATTTCACATCCCACTTCTCACTTCCCATATTTCACATACCACATCCCACTTCCCATATTTCACATTCCACATCTCACTTCCCACATTTCACATCCCACTTCTCACATTTCACATCTCACATTGTACATTACACTTTTCTTATCACGCTTCCCACCTTTTATATCCCACTTCTCACATCTCTCCCATTTCCCCCCCACTCCTGGGTGACTCAAATGGAGTTGCCGGTGGTGGTAATTCCGAGGCGCCGCCACCATCGCCGCCATCGTCGTAGCTTCCACTACCGGCACACTCATCGCCACCGCCATCACCTTTCCACCGGTGGGTATATTCTTACTACCAGGACGGTGGTGGTGAGGGTGACGGCGGTCGTGACTACGACGATGGCTTCATAGCTTTTTGAAAAAAAAAATAAAATAAAAAAAAAAATTTTCTCAACTCATCTCTTTGCGCATGCGCAGTAAGAGTTAGTCTATCTACGCATGCGTGAAAAGTTCAGAATATTAAATATATATATGCTATTGTATATATATATATTAAAAATGATTGAGTTTACAATGTCTGCGCATGCGTGAATACTATTCTGGGGAGGCCCATGCTATTGCGCGTGCGCGGTTATATTTAGCTATAAATACAAGGATTTCAAGCAGTGAAACTCATTCTATTCTGTGAGCTAGTGCAGCTTAGTCGCAGCAAAGCAAACTGTAATAGAGCGATCTTTTATTTATTGTATTTTTTCTTGCTTTTTGACATTTAATTTTATTTTATAAGTTTTTTTTGTGTGCTTGGTTCTTTGTTTTGCGTGTTATTAGATTAAGGATTAGTATATAAGTACGTTTTTTCTTTTTTTATTAATTTATTTATTATTCATTTTTTTTCTTTATTTATTACTATATTTATTGTTCTTTATTATTATTTTTTTGTTTATAAATTTTTTGTTCTATTTTTATATTATTTATTTCTATTGTTTTTTTTTATTTATTGTTACGCGACAATGCCTGGTAAACGAAAGTTTGCAGGCATTGGGAGACCTGTGAAGCGACCCAATTATCAGACCATCCTTGATGAGTGCGAGGTCACTATTGCACTCATCAAGGATGCTCTTGAATTACTCGCGAGTTTGCGCAATGGTGCTGTTAAAAACGAGTTTATAGCGCGATGGGTTGCAGAATTTTCTTGCAACGAACAAGTTTTAACAAGTCTTTTAAGATCTATGCAATTTACGCATGAGAAAAGTCATTGCCAGAACATTCTACAATTCATTATGAGATTTAGAGATTTGTTCGAATCTCAAGCGGTAGAGGGCGGTGGTATACAAGACCCTAATATTAATAATCGCGTGCGTTGTGCTATGTGTGAGTCAGCGATTGAGTGCCGATTGTACACATATGTCATACTAATATTGTACATGTAGATATAGGTGCTTTTTTGAACGATGCGGCCATTTTGTTTCAAGAGCACATTCAAGATGCCTTAAATCAAAATGGTCCCATTATCGTATATGGTGTTTTAACTGCTAATTTTAAAAGAGTGCAGAATGAAGTGGAGGTAGTGCAGCCAATTCCATTCTCTTCTAAATCTAGCAGCATCTTCCCCACAACTTCATTGGAGGACTGGTTCGAGGTCAATTTAAAGCAGCCAATCCTGAGGAATGTGGAAGAGTTCCATGAGAAGGGATCCAGCTGGAATCTACAGTCCATAGTTAAGTTAGAAATTAATATTAATAAATATAACCCCATGCGTGCGAGTTCATATATTGGTTTACCCCCAAAAATAAGAGCTAAACATGCGTGTATTAAAGTAGAAAATGAAAAAAATAATAAATGTTTTAAATGGGCTATTCTTTCCGCTTTACATGACGTGATTACACAGCCCCACAAAAAAAGTGTCATGTACTTTTGACCGGAATACCCTAACCCTATGTATTTTGACGCACTGAACACGAATCCGAAGTCCGTTTTGCTCCATCACGTCAGGATTTTTTCTGACCTTAAAAAACATGTTGGATTTTGAGAAGTAGGCGATTTTTTTAAAAATTGATGTAATAACTTCAAACTTGGTATCAGGGGTTTTTTTGTGTCGCTGATTACGAATCTGAAGTTAGATTTTCAAAATCCAAAATGGCGGACGAATTTTGAAAAAAAATTTAAGATTTACTTCAAACTTGGTATTTAGGGGTTTTTTGGGTCGCTGATTACGAATCTGATATTCTGATATGATACGAATATGTCTGATTAAATATTAAGAAATTATTTTTAAAACATTGTCAGATTTTTATGAAATTTGGTATCTACAAGTTTCCTAAGTTGCTGACAAGTAACACTGGGGAACAATTTGACACTTATTTTTTTGTTTTTCCCCAAAAGTTGATTTAAGGCGGGAAACTACCCCTTGATTTTTTTTGGGAGGGGGGCATTATTTTACAAAATTTTTTTAAAATTAATGTTCAATAGTGTATTTAGGAATTTTTTTTGGGTCGGAGATTACGAATCTGATGTCAGATTTCAAAAATTCATTATGGCATATCCAACATGGAGTTCTATCGGCCATATTAGATACGCCATTTTCCATTTTTTGAAAACTGACATCAGATTCGTAATCAGCGACACAAAAAAACCCCAGATACAGTATTGCACATTAATTTTTAAAAAATTTCGTAAAATAATGTCCCCCTACCAAAAAAAATTCATGGGGTAGTATGGGTATGGGTATGGCACTTCCCTAGTGTTACTTGTCAGCAACTTAGAAAACCTGTAGATACCAAATTTCATAATAATCTGACAATTTTTTAAAAATAATTCCTTAATATTGAATCAGACATATCTAATTTCGAAAATCTGACGTCAGATTCGTAATCAGCGACCCAAAAAACCCCTAAATACCAAGTTTGAAGTAAATAAATTAATTTTTTAAAAAATCGCCTATCTCTCAAAATCCGACATGTTTTTTGAGGTTAGAAAAAAATCCTGACGTGATGGAGCAAAACGGACTGCGGATTCGTGTTCAGCGCGTCAAAATACATAGGGATAGGGTATTCCGGTCAAAAGTACATGACACTTTTTTTTGTGGGTCTGTGTTATTATATAGATTAAAGTGTAAATGAAGATAATGTAAACAATGATTCTAACGATATTGATTTTATGAATTTCCACTGTTTGGATTAAAAATTTATCGCGGTCAGTATCCAAACAATTGACTATAAATGTAAAAAATATATTTGTGATCGTTGTTTACACTATTTTTCATCAGCGAAAGATTGAATGTACACGATGAAAATTGTATACGTATGAATGTATGTAGCGTAAAATTACCGAATGCTGAAAATTGTAAAATTACCTTTAAAAATTATGATAATGAGGAGAAAGTTCCTTTTATCATCTATGCCGACTGTGAAAATTTACTTCTTCCCGTTGAAGAAGATACAGATAATTTAAGTAAAACTGAAATTTTCCAGCGTCATAAATTGCTTAGTATAGGTTATTATGTAAAATGTACTTACGATCACTCATTGTCCATGTATGTACCGTGTCCGAGGGAGGAAAATGATCCTGCCAAGTGGTTTGCTGACGAGTTAAGGCAATTTTCCGAGAAAATTGATAATGTATTTAAGAATCCTATTTCTATGGATGCCTTACCTCCTCAGCAAATCGCTGATTTTAAGAAAGCAAGCGTATGCCATGGGTGTTTTCGACGTCGTCAGTCGTACCGGTCAGTTGCCACAAAAAGGTGCTCAACCATTTTTTTACAAAAGATCCCCAATTGCATGGTGAATGAGGCTTTACGTTTGTCCTAACCTTCTGTTTTTTTCATCTTAACATGTCGTAACAAAATTATTGCTCTGTTTAAATATTATTTTTCTCTTAATTATTAAGAAGAAGATGAATCAAGAGAAGAAGTTCGTTTTTCAATCCGTTTGTGCATATCACGGAAAATGGGTTGAGCATTTAGTTGAGAAGGGAAAGTTTCTTTGTCAGCTTGCAGAACGTGATACTGGTACGTCAAAATTTTTTATTTATCTTTTAAATTAAGTTAATAATTTGTGATATAAAGATATTTTATCAAAAATTAATTAATTAATCAATTAAAAGTATTATCTACAGTTTTCCGTACGTGTCAATTTGTGTGTTATAAATAATGTGTATTCAGAGGTTAAATTGTTCACACCGCAGTAAATGTGAGCTAATAAAAAACATAGAAATATTTCAATTATAAGTGATACAGCAAAAAATTGATATTAAAGTAATGATTGCTTAAAGCAGCAATGTGATACATTTCACGAAAAATCGACACATCAAAATGAACATTGTCAAATTTGCTAAAAAATTTTTTATCTTTTTGTAGTCTACAAAAAAGAGCTCTATGCTTTTTTTTAAATTTTTTTATCCATCCTTTTACAGATATGAATTTTTCAAAATTTATAATTTTGAAGAAAAAATATTTTTTGATTATTCATAACTACTATCCTTGGATGTTTTTAGAAAAGTTTATACCAAAACTTCATTGTTTAATACAAATTTTGAGCCCAGTCATGTCATGAGTAAATGGTTTCTTCAATTTTTTTGGCAATTTTTGATAATTTGAGTGTTTTCTCTTACATATTCTGATTTTACGGGGGATTGCGAAGCGCTGACTACGAAAATTATAGTTACAATCCGAGGAAACTTAATTTTTGTGATAAAAAGCATAAAAAAATCATAAATTTATGATTTTTATGATTCCCAGTCAAATTCCAGTATCTGAAATCCCGAAAATCAAATTTTCCGAAAGTAAAAATTATCAATCTTTTTTCTAAAGGTATTTAAACCGTGAAAATTTTTTTTAAAAATATTAACTGCAAATTGTACAGGTGCAGTACGTTATATGTACTTGAAAGAATCAGACATACGTACATTGCAAGCTGGAAAGGAGAAAACAACGCGACTAGAATTTGTTAATCAAAAGCAGAAAACACAAAGTATCTTAAAAGATAAATTGAATGTTGGACCAACTCCTCAAAGAAGTGTTGAAAATGCTGGTATTTATGAATTTATATACCATTTAATAAATTATAATAACATAATTTAAGGAGACCTTGACGGTGACCTATATTTATTTATATTTAAACATATTCCAATTTTTATTTTGTGCTTTGAAATTTTGAACTACGGATAGTTTAAATGTGCATAATTTGTACCACATTGTAAGAGATTTAACAAAGCATCTAAACTTATTTGTCATTGTTTACAGTTCCTATTGTACAAAAATTGCAAACTGAAAAAGAGAATAACATTCAACTCCAAGATCTCACTCGTAACGAAATCGCATCGTCCACTGAATCGTCATCTCAAAACACTTCAACCAGTTCATGTGCCACTCAAGGGATCAATTCTCGAATATCTTATTGGACATATCCTCAAACTGCTGGTATGTTTTATTTGTATCAATTCTTCTTTTCTCGGATTGATCGAATTTGCCATTACTGATATTTTGAGACATTCTTTAATCTATTTTCGTGGCAATCAGTTTTTATCCAAATTCCAATTTCAGTGAATTAAATTAAATCATAGTTTTATTCTTAAGCTACATTTAAATCCTTTTAAATGTATGAAACTTAAACTGGCATAGAGTTATCAGCACCGAGTTAATTTTTAAGACAATTTTTGTTAGAAATAATATAATTAAAGATATTAAATTAAATAAAATTAACTGTCTGTCCATAAATGGGTCAACCGATTTAATTTTTTAAAAAAATTTATATTACAAAAAACGTAAATAGAGTTTATAAAGTTCATAAAATGAACTTGGTGCTGATAACTCTGTGCCAGTTTCATCATCATTTTGAAATGCTTTCATTCTTACGGAAAATATAAATCAGAAAATTTCGTGAGAATTAGAATTTATATTTTAAATTCATATTTGCTTACCTACAGAACATACACTGTATTTGTATCAACACATTACAGAGTTTATTTGTGTTCTCATTTTTTAATTTTAATCGAAAAGCAATTAAAATGAATATGGTGGAAAGTTAGGCGGTTAATGACCGGGATTTTTTAATTTTTCTGAAAGAATAGAGAAATGAACGGAAATGTTTAATTGTTAAAACATCATCACCACCACGGTCGAATTACAAACTTGTTACAATTATTTTTATTTCTTACAGTTTCTAAAATGTGCACACTGCAAATGGGAAAGGAAAAGGTTGTAAAACTCACACTTTCTACTGGCAAGCCAAATGTTGAACAACGCATTTCACAAAATATGAATGCTGAGGAATCTGATTCCAAAACTGTTGAAAAAGATGGTATTTAAAATTTTTTAAATTTAAAAGCATACTTCATTAAACAATTCTTTTATTCCATTTTTGTTAAATAATATATTTTTATTTTTGAACACTTAGTGAAGACACAGGGCTGCTTTCATTCATTTTGTAATAAATTGTTTTTTATCTTTTAGTGGGTTTAAACCGACAATTGCTCTAGTGCGAGTTGAACTTGTTTACCTAAAGTTTGGTTTAAGATTATTTAAATTCATAAATTTTTTTCTTAAAATTTACACTTAAAATGAAAAGTAACACGTTAAAATAAATTTTAACTCCCTACCTCTATAACTGTGAGAGTAATAGAAAAGATATTTTCCTAAAAGTAATTTAATTTTTCCTATAAAAAGAAATCTGTTATTTAAGTTTTGTACCTCTTAAGTTTAAATTTGTCGATTTAAGGGTGGTTTTTTCGATTTAAAAAAAATCAGAGGGTGATGGAGCAATTCTGACTTCAGATTCGTTTTCAGAGAGCTAAAATGCTATAGGATATATGTCTTGTTCAAGAAACAGACAATTTTTTTGTGTGCCTGTGTAATTATTACTTAACAATAAATTTTAACTCAGAATTATTTTTTCTGTTAAAATCTACTTTTTTTGGTTCCTCTGTTATTTTTAAAAAATTGAAAAAAATGAGAAAAAAATTTAGTCGGGTACAGAGAATTTTAGGAGAAATTGCCTGGAAATCATGTACCTAAATGTCGGGGAACTTCTATATTTTCTAACAGTTGCAACTCTGTTGATTCTATTTAAAATTTTTAATTTATTTGTTTTCTGTTGTCAATGTATATACATATTACGGGCAATGTGTGGGAAGCGGGCAATATTCGAGAATGTTCTGGCATTGTTGACATTGCCCTGCTTTTTTCAAAAACGTTCACAAAATGGTAACAATGCCCGGGCATGCTCGGACATTGCCCGCCTACAGCATATTGCCCGTAACATATACAATTTAAAATGATTCATAAATTCTTTAAATTGCAATTTTTAATGATTGCTAACTTCTCAACTTCTTTTCGAAGTTTACAATTTATACGCTCTTTTATTTCGTCTATATTTCATTTGTTCCAATTGGCATTAAATACTTTCATAAAGTTTAAAATTCATTTACAGAAGCTTGCAAAAATAAAAATCTTTTTATGTGGAAAACAGTAATGTTATTGTGTTTATTACAGAAATGATATGGACAGAGGATATGATAAAATTATTAATTTCCTGTTACCGAGAAATGACTAACGACGGCGATAAAGAAGGGGTCGTAAAAAAAAGTATTCGTGGAAGCGGCAAGAAGATCAAATGCTGTTAGAAAGTATCCTGAAGTTAATTGGACGCATCGCAGTGCTAATCGAAGTACAACAAGTTAATAACAAATTACAAGGAGCACGTAGATTCGCAAAACAGAAGTGGGGCAGGAAAAAATTTTTTTAAATATTATGATATAATAAATGAGTACATGCACAAGAAGCCTCAAATCGTACCAGTCTCAATATCTTCAAACTTAAAAGGATTCCGAGAAAAACAGAATGCAACCTCAAGCAGTGAAGATAAAAAATCAATTAAAAAAATGAAAAAGGAAAGAAAAATAAAAAAATCTCAGAAGTCAAAAAAAGTACAGAAATATCAGAATTGTGCCAAGTCATGCGAGAAAGAAACGATGTTCAAAAACAAATTGCTGCAAATATTGCAAGGTATGTTAACACTGTGGAGAAAAACTCTACCAAAGAATAAAACGCAATCAAGAGACTGTATGATATTTTTAAAATATCTCTAATTATCAGTATGTGATTACGAATCATCAGTATTTTCTTGTTTAAGTCTTACTCATTTACTTACTTAATTTTAAGAAATGAAGGTTGTGTTAATTCTAAATGTACTGCCAAAATGTGTTTTAAATTTGTTATGAATTCTTAATAATTTTTATTGTAAGTCAACAAAAAGGCTTATTTAATATTGAAACATGAAGATATTATTAATTCTAAAAAATTTAAATTTTGTTAATTCGAAGTTTATTGAAGAAGTGTTTTTAAAAAATGGTTACGAATCGTCAATAGTTTTTCATTCAAGTTAAAATAATACTTATTTAATTTTAAGAAATGAACTCGAAATTCATTGAAGAAATGTTTTTAAAAAACAATTACGAATCGACAGTAGTTTTTTGTTCAAGCCAAAAAAAGACTTATGTAATTTTAAGAAATGAAAGTTTTTTTAATTCAAAATTCATTTAAGAAATATTTTTAAAAAATGATTATGAATCAAGTATTTTTTCGTTTTAGTATTATTTACTTAATTTTAAGAAATGAAGGTTGTATTAATTCTAAATATGTTAAAAAAATGTTTTGAAAATTTATAACGAATTATCAATAGTTTTAAGTTTAAGTCAACAATAAGACTGACTTAATTCTAAATGTATTGAAAAACTATTTTAAAAGTTTGTTATTAATTATCAATAGTTTTTCGTTGAAGTCAACAAGACATTAAATTTTAAAAAATTAAATATATTTAAAAAATGTAACAAAATTTATTTCGAGAAATTAAAAGTCAATACACTACCATCCACAATTGAGAGGACACATATTTTTGTTGAATGAAAACATCATAATACTTAAGTATTATGTTTTTTTCAAAATTTTTCATGTTTCTTTAAAATTTATAACAAAAATTTTTTTTTTAATTTTATTTACTAACAGATACTTACATTGTAAGAAGAATAATCCCTTACATAAGTTATTTAGCCAACATATTAACAACACCCATAAGATCTGCTAGATTAATGAAATTCTGATTCAATTTTTAAGAATGAGTATTTTTTGAAAATATTTAAATGAAATATTGGCCAAATCACTTCTATAAGTCATTTCTCTCATGACAATTTGATGGTCTTTTTGTGAATAAATAGAAATAATTTAGGTTTTTTTATGAATTTTACGTGTTATGATGTTTTTCATTCACCAAAAAACTAGTGTTTACTCAATTCTAAACGGTATAGTGCACATTAAAGAAAATATAGTTTTTGTGTATAAGAGAAAAAATAAGTACATAAAGTGAATGGTGGCAAGTGAAGCGAAAATTTTTCGAAATATATATTTTTCTACAATTTGTGTTTAAAAACAATCAATGTGAACTTAGAGCGACACAAGTTTTCTTATTTTTTTCGATAATACGTATGTCTGTCTGAACAAATTGTACTAGTAAAACCTAATATCTGGAAAGTGTTTTTTTCATTTACATTTTTTTTTCTTTTTCTAAAAAAACATATTATAATTTGTGCTTGATAACCTTGACTTACCACTCTTGAAATATTCTACTATGTTATTCTTCAAATTCAACATACAATTGCGTTCAATAAATATTTTATACGAATAAAAAGAAGAGTAGTTACTGAAATTTCTTTAAAAAGTAATTTCCTCAAATTATTTCATTTCCCAAACAACAATTTTTATATATTCTAAATTCAATTTATTTTTAATAACGTAGTTAATATGTTTTCACAGTAAATATATGTTCAATCCATGAAACTTTTTAATAAAAAGTATATCAATGAAATTCAGCATCTGTGGAAACCCTTTTACTGCAATTTTTATTTAAAATAACATTTTAGTAATATTGAACTGTTAAAACTGTCAACTGTTACATTGTCTATTGCAATTGGATTCACAAAATTATCATAGGCCAAGATTTAAATAAAAAAAATAAAAACATGAAAAAATCATATATTATTATTTTGTACTACCTATTATCTCAAATTCCATAACTATCTGTATCATAAGCAAAAAATAAAAATAATTTTTCCTCATTTAATACCTTATTATAGAGATTGTTTTAAAAAATTGATTTTTTTTGCAAAATATGAATCAGCATACCGATTTTACCTAAAAAGTGATCTTACATTAATTAAATTTTTGTTCTATGCTAAGGTACAAGATCAAACGGTTTTTCTTGATTTTCTCCGTTCGACCGGAAGGTCACTTATGTGTCTTTTTACTTTGCACGGCAGTTGTATAATTATAAGAATTTGTAACGCAAAAGAAAAGTCATAGTATGATAAAAAAATATGAAAGTAATTTTTATTCAATGCGTATGTGCATAATTTACATAATCAATTAACAATGATTCACTTAAATAAACATGAAACAAAACACTTAAGTACGTTCTAATTAGTGTACATAAATATTTCGCAGAAAGAACATTCTGGAATAAATAACCCGCAACAATTTAAAATTTACATATTATACACATAAGCAAAATTATTGCTAATATTAGCTTAAAAACAAATTATTGTAATTTCAGTAAAAACATATCGCCTTACAAAAAACCGTAGATAAATGAATAATTATATTATACATAAAACTGTAAATTCAAAATTATTTAATTTCTTCTTTCATGAACTTGCATGAGCATTTCCGCAATAGCATCCCTTTTACGTCTAGTGGCAGCATCATTACGTCTGTTTAAAGCACGAAACTCTTCAATGTCATCGTTTACAAAATCTTCTTCTGTCAATATTTCTTCATTTATCTCATCATCTAAATCAAGGCATATATTGTGAAGCACACAACAAGCCATAATTATGATAGCTCCATACCTAATTTTCTGCAAATACAGATATTTCAGTCGACGAAAACGACCTTTTAATAAGGCGAACGCACGTTCTATAACCATTCGTGTTTTCGAATGAATGTAATTGAAATGCACTTGCGTAGGTGTTAAATGTCCATTATCTTTATATGGAACCATAAAATAGTATTCAATGCCATATGCCTTATCACCAATAATGTGAAATTCTCCTGGGCAAAACCGTGCCAGATCTTCTGCCATAGCAGCACTAATGTCGCTCATTGTCCAAAGACGTGCGTCGTGTACGCTTCCGCAAACTCCGGCGAATACATCGATGAATTTTAGGTCGCAATCGCATATTGCTTGCACATTCAGTGAATACAAATTTTTGCGGTTTATATAACTGACAGCATTATCTGGAGGAGCGGATATCTGTATATGAGTCCCATCAACAGCACCAACTACATTTCGAAATCCCGCCATCTCTCTAAAAGCTTGTTCAATTCGTAGCAATTCTTCACGTTGAGGCCACCTTATATAATCAGCAGATAATTCATTTAAAACACAGGCTACTTTTATAGTACATCTCCAAGATGTGTTGATGGAGACCCCGAAACGATCAGCGATTGATCTGAAAGGAATACAGCTTATTTAACATTGAAAAGTTACTGGCATTAATTTGTCGATAATTTTTTGTAAATAGAAAAAAGAATTATAATTTGTTTAAAAAATTATAATAAAATTTATTTAATATTTTATTATTTTTATTTTTAATTTATAATTAATTATATTATATTATATATTAATTATATTAAATTAATTATATTTTAATATTTAACGTAGATAAATAAAAAAATATATATATTCGAAAATAGTTTCATCGCATTTTTAGGACATAAAACTATAAAAAACCGTCATAAAGAAGTTGATTTTTTTGTCGATAGGTCTTTTTTTTAGAAATGGTCACATCTATCCTAAATGAAATAATCAATAAAACAAATTTTTTGCTAAAAAATGATTCAGCAAAAAAATGGAATTAAACAATATCATTTACAAAATACTATACAAATCATGCAATCGATAAACGACCGATTAGCTGAGGTTAAATTAATTTCAAAACCTCATCCAGCTCCCGTTGATTTGAGGAAGAAAATAATAATAATAATAATACAAATTTATCATCCACTCATTGTGAAAATGATTATAACAACATTAAATAAGTATTAAACAATTACTTCTTAAACCCTGCATTCGCAGCAAATAACACATCAAAATATAATTATTATATTGACTAAATTAAGACACTATTTTAATAATGTTTATAAAATTTTATTGTAGAAACATACCTATAAACATCTTGATTGCAGAAATACCACAGAGCAATACAAACTTGTTTTTCTGGACTTAACACATTGGGTCCATCATTTCTCGGAGTTAATAATGGAGCGATATTATCCACTAATGTAGCGAAAGTTGTTGGTGTCATTCGAAAATGACTTTTGAAGTCTGTAAAATAATATAAAATAGTAGCAGTTTACATTATTGTACAGTGTAATTCTTAAACCAAAAACATTAAAAAATTTGAAATAATTTTGAAAATTCAAACAAATTTATTTTATAAAATTTCCTTGAAAAGTCTATACAATTTCATGTTATTATTTATTTCGTTAGACGAATTTTATTACAAAAAAATTGTTTCAAATTAAAAAATTTATTCAACTTTGTCAACTTGCATTTTTAAGAGGAAAAATTATTCTTTAATTATGAGAAACAATAATAATAAAATAGAAATATCAATAAAACAACCTTCTATAAATAAGCACAAGAACATTAAAAAGGAAATTGTTTAATTTCTAAAATTTTGTTTATAACATTTTTCTATTAACTTATCAAAACTACAAAATAGATTTTAACGCGTAAACAAAAATTTAATAAGTATTAATTTTAGGTAAATTTAAAAGACTTAATTTCATACAACTTTACAATAAATTATTTTGAGTCAAAATATTTTGTTATCAATGATTTTTTAAAATTATGTTTACATTTTTCCAGATCAAATAAAAATTGCAATTTCTTTTCAATTTCTAAAATTTACTTTTGTTACATAAATAAGGTGGTAAAAGAATCTAAAAATTTACAATAAATATATATAAAATTAAAGTAATTAAGATTTAAAAAATGACAAATATATTCATATATATTTATATACCTGATACTGAGTAAGAAGGAATTACTTCCTCAAAATAATTAGCTACTTTCGGATGATGCTCCCTTACTTCATTTTGCACTAAAATTCTAATTGCTTCATCTTGATCATCATCATTTAAAATATCAACAACACCCATAAGTACTGCTGGATTAATTAAATTTTGATTCACGTTTTCGTCCATTTTTTAATCGCTATGTTCAGATCGGTCAGCGAGGGTAAGAGCCAAGAGCCTCACCGCTATTTTCGATTAATTTCGATTAAAAAAATATGTAAACAAAACCAGGTTCCGACAAACAGCTGAACAAACGAACCTATTCTGTTATAAAACAAGAAAAACTATATCGTGTTTCACATGCAATATTTGACAGCAATGCTTCAACCAATCAAAATCATTAAAACTAAATAGCTTCAAATAAATAGGTTGAGCACCTTTTTGTGGCAACTGACCGGTACGACCGACGACGTCGAAAACACCCCATATTTGCCGTAAGAATATACCAGCTAATGTTAAAAAGGTTTGCGATCATTGTCATATTACTGGCAAATATAGAGGTGCTGCTCATGAATCATGCAACTTGAATTATCATGAGTACCAAATCGTACCCATTGTATTTCATAATTTAAGTGGGTACGATGCACACTTTATAATTCATGCTGTATCGACGAGCTTTGGAGGTCGAGTTGACCTCCTCCCCTTGAACAAGGAGAAATATATCTCCTTTACGAAAAATATCAAGGGGAGTGTGGTTAAATTACGCTTCATTGACTCGTTTAGATTCATGGCAGCATCTCTAGAAAAATTAGCGTCATATCTTGACAAATATAAAATTGTTGAATCCGTATTTGCCAGTACGGTAACAGATCGCGAAAAAATTAAATTATTAACGAGAAAAGGTGTCTTCCCTTACGAGTATTTAGACTCGCGAAGTAAGTTGTATGACACTGAATTACCAGCCAAAGAGAGCTTCTATAGTACTCTCTATGATACTGGTATATCCGATGGGGAATATGAGCATGCGCAAAAAGTCTGGTCTGAATTTAATTGTCAAACCTTTAACGATTACGTTCACCTTTATATGAAAACAGACGTGTTATTACTTGCTGATGTCTTTGAGAACTTTCGCGAACAATGTTTGAAACGCGTACAGGTTAGATCCAGCACACTATTATACTACCCCCGGTTTAACTTGGGATGCTATGCTCAAATATACGGGCATAACATTGCAACTTATAACTGATATAGACATAATGATGTTTATTGAGTCGGGTATCAGAGGTGGTATTACTAATGTTGTAACCGTTACGCTAAAGCGAACAATCCCTATATGGATCAGTTCGATCCTACACAAGACACCCATTATATTATGTATTTTGACGCGAATAATTTATATGGCTGGGCAATGGCACAAGCGCTACCAATTGGTGGTTTCAAGTGGATTGCCAACCCAGACGAGACCTTTAACTTCAACGTACCCGACGACTCTTCAGTCGGGTACATGTCGGAAGTCGATCTCGAATATCCCGAGAGCCTTCACGATTCTTATAAAGACATACCGTTTTGCGCAGTTAATGCAAAACCTCCCATGTCTAAGCAGGAGAAATTACTCACAACTCTCCTGCCTAAAGAGAAGTACGTGATGCATTATCGTGCATTGAAACAGGCTCTCGGGAACGGTCTCAAACTAGTCAAAATACATCGGGTGCTCCAATTCAACCAATCACAATGGTTGAAACCCTATATAGACTATAATACTGCCTTACGAACAACTGCGAAAAATGAATTTGAAAAGAATTTATTCAAATTAATGAATAACGCAGTGTATGGTAAGACCATGGAAAATGTTCGCAAGCATGTAGACATTAAATTGGTTACACACTGGTTCGGCAGATATGGTGCCGAAGCCCTCATCTCTCGGCCCAATTTCCACAGTCGTGCAATATTCGGTGAAGATCTTGTGGCCATCGAATTACGAAAGACTGAGGTCCTACTCAATAAACCGATTTATGTGGGTTTAAGTTTGTTGGATGTCTCGAAAACGCTTGTCTATGACTTTCACTACAGTTACATGCTTCCGAAATATGGTGAAGCATGTAAACTGTTGTATACAGACACTGACAGTCTAGTGTACGTAGTGAAATGTCAAGACATATATAAAGATATGAAAGAAGACATCCACAAGTTCGACACATCTGACTATCCGGTAAACAATGCGTATGGTATTCCGCAAGTCAACAAAGAAGTTCTCGGCCTAATGAAGGACGAGTGCAATGGTAAAATTGTTACTGAATTTGTTGGCTTGCGGAGTAAAATGTATAGCATACGCGTTGAAGGTGAAGATTTCGTTAAGAAAGCTAAAGGCATTAAAGCGGGAGTCATCAAAAAGTCTATTCATTTTGACGATTACGTTGAATGCTTTCGTGATTTTAAGATTCAGACTAGAACTCAATACAACATTAGGTCACGGTTACATAATATAGAAACTGTTAAACAAGTTAAAGTAGCATTAAGTCCATAATTATGACGATAAAAGATACTTGCTTACCGAGAGTACCGATACTCTATCCTGGGGTCACTACAGGATCCCAGAAATCGAAGAATTGTAAATATTTTTGTAAAATAAAATGTAAGGATTTTCATGTTAAATAAATGTAAAAAAATATTATAAATTTTATGTATTTATTTATTTATAAAAACCTTGTATACACATAACTCATAATTAAAATTGATTTAATTTAAATATTAATAAAAATTTGCTTTTTATAATTTTGTTCTAATAATAAACATTGACAATGCCAAATTCAAATATTAATCTCAAAATTGAAACAAGCAGAAATGTTTAATAAAATATAATTTGAACATTATTGCAGAACTCTAGTCCTGGAATAAAATCTTCCACAGAGTGCAACATACTTTCATGATATGCACGTAGTAATTTTACATAATTTAAGATTAAATCATTGTTGATTCATTGTTGATTCATTGTTGATTCATTGTTGATTCATTGTTGATTCATTATTAATTCATTATTGATTCATTATTGATTCATTATTGATTCATTATTGATTCATTATTTATTCATTATTGATTCATTGTTGATTTAACCTTAAATTATGTAAAATTACAACGTGCATATCATGAAAGTATGTTGCACTCTGTGGAAGATTTTATTCCAGGACTAGAGTTCTACAATAATGTTTAAATTATATTTTATTAAACAGTTACATTATAGAGAGTATTAAATTCACTTTGTGATAATTGTTTCAAATTGATTTCTGCTTGTTTCAATTTTGAGATTAATATTTGAGTTTGGCATTGTCAATGTTTATTATTAGAATAAAGTTATAAATTTGCTTTCTCTTCCCAAGTATTGTGAGAGTTATCAAAGCCAAGCCATTTGACGAGAACTTTATTTCCACGTGTCTTGAGATTTTTTTCAACCAGATAAATATCTGGATATTTTACTTTAAGAAGTTCCTCTGCATAGAATCCTCCACTAATGGGTTGATCTTGATAGTCTTTGAGTTTGTAAGTTATAAGTTTAGTTGACAAGACTTGATCTATTGTGAATATTTCTGTTGTCCAATTGGGAGTGTAACCTTTCTCAAACACGCTTTTATACTTGCTGACTCGAACTTTGTCACCAATTTTAAACTTTGCTTTCTTTAAAGGTATTTTTCTTAGCTTCAAAAATCGTTCTTTCAAAATCTCAACATCTTCTGCAGTAACATCTTTCGGCTTCATTCCAATTGTCCGATGTTTAGTGTTATTATAATTGGAAATGAGAATAGGTAATATATCATACCATTTATAATTTCCACGTAGACTGAATTGCATCCACATTTTTCGTTTTAGAGTTCGATTAAATCGTTCAACAATAGATGCTTTCAAATTACTGAATGTTGAGTAGAAATTAATTTTATACTTTTTCATTAAAACTTCAAACTGAGAATTATAGAATTCTTTACCTTTATCAGAATGTAGATTTTTTGGAATACGTCCTTCTATGAATATGGATTTCATAGCGTTAGTGACATCTTTTCCATTTTTACTTTTTACAGGAACAGCCCAAGCGTATTTGGAAAATATATCTATAACTGTTAGTAAATACTTAAAACCTTTATTTCCTTTGGAATAAGGTAACATTTCTACTAAATCTGCTTGCCAAGTCTCATCAATATCACGCATGTCGACTCGGCGGCGATGATAATTCCTCCTTGCCTGACTATGAAGTTCAGTCACTACTGTTTTCTTTTTGTCGTTCATTTTCTAGAGTACTCAAACGAGCATCCAATTGACTGATAATTTCAGCGTTTCGATATGATAAATCAGTATTTATTTCTCTTTCCAAGACTTTTAATTTTTCCTTTATAGAGTCTTCGAGAATTTTTAATAATATATATTTATTATCAATTTCTTTTCGCAGTGAAGACGTTACTTGATATATTAGTCTTAACTCGTTTTCGACTAAACGTTGTGCAAGTTGTAAATTAACTACGTAAGTTTTTTCTTTTGCATCAGCAACATTGGAAATTTTTCTACCCTGTAAGTCGAAGTGACCTTCTGAGTTAATTTTAAAACCAATTCCAGGTGGACCTGGAGGTCCTCTTGTGACCCTTTCAATTCCTCTTTCATTAAGAGGATGTCCGAACACATCAATGCTCATCATAAGACTGAGAGAAAGTTGATGGAACACCTCCTTATATACTTTTCTTGAGCCTGACTAAATGAAACAATAATTTTCAATATATAATTTGCGCTTCACGTAATTCTTCTATGATTGACATAATTTCATTATTGTGACTGGGATTCCCAGCTGCTTGAGATGCCATAAGCAATCGAAGACGGTCAACCAATTCGTTAGGATCATCCCAATAGATATGGTCTGGTTGAAAACTTTTTTTTGCAATCATAAAATGTGGTAGTGAAGTGCCAGTTTTCAATCGTCTTTTTGGTGTTTCATTATGAGGAAAAAGTTTTAAAATAATATTGACATATTTAAAAGTTTTACTTGTACGTATAGGTTCAGAAGAACTATAATTTTTTCTGTGAGCATTGGAGATGATGAGAATTTGTTTATAATTATTCATATCATCATCGCTAATGTATGACATTTCAGGTTTAATTTTAAATAACAGTTCCAATAAACCGGAAGTAATATTAGAACGTTTATCACCAACATT